CTCTATCTCTGTCTCTGTCTCTGTTCTCCTACAAACTGCCTTGGCAATAGGATGCCCACGTGCCCAGGGGTTTCGTCTCATCATGTCGTCTTAACACCACATCCCTGCCCCATGTTTAAAGCGACAGCAGCTGCTCTCAAACAAAATACAGTTTGAGCATAAAGAGCCCAGTGGTCAAAAATGCAGAGAAAAACACACTTTCCCTATGTTGGCTTTTTGTTCCATTTTATTATTTTTTTGGTGTGTATTTTTATTGCACCGTTAGCTTTGATATAGCTTTTATATATTTGTTTTTATGATGTGTATTTATACGTGCCAATCATGTGGAAAAAGACGATTTATGTGATCCCTGTCTGCCACATTTCCAATTTAACATCGAAGGATAATTTCCTAACGACGTCTAACTGAGAATGAGAGTGATGAAAGTGTGTTTCAATTATGTGTGAGCATGTTAAATGTGAATGAGATTGTGTGTTGTTGTCTGAAACAACTACGTCTTTTAAAACAAGATTCGATGAAATGTTTAAAAAGTCCTGGAGCAGGAATATTTTAACGATTATTGAACAGCACCAACAATGTGAAAGGATGTTTAAGCATTGCAGTGATGTCAAAGCTTACAGAATGTTTGTTGTATCAACACAAATTAGTCTTAAATATGGTAATTTTAAGCGGACCATAATTTTTAACAGCCATTTGTTTAAAATGGGCCTGATGTTTCCAGATGTTACAGTCAATTTGCACTCAACCAAACAGCATCAATAAGTGAACACACAGCTGTTATTGTAATGGTCAATAATCAGTTTAATCGGTTTAATATACAAACATTTTAAGTGTTCACATTTTGAAAATACAAATGATTACATAATCATGTATTACAACTTATTTGTCAAATATGTCTAAATACTTCTAAAAAGGTTCCTGGCTGTTATAATTCTGCTCTCCAAACACAGAAGTTCACTTTCCACATTTGAATATAACAAATATATTCTATTTAATCTATTATTTTACATGAATCAGGGTAAAGCTCATGACCACCACATCATACCTGTTGAGTGTATATCAAAGAATATATACATATACACTCTTTGTGCAAAACATTAGTGCTGCCTTGCTGCTATTGGCTGCACTTCACTATCAGAAATAGATGAAATTTTAACCCATAT